CGCCGATATTGAGACCTGTTAATGGCTTTGAGCAGAGAGTTTGGCAAAACGAGCCAACAAAAGTAAGGCACTCGAATGAATAACGCTCACCGACTGCGCTAGCGAAACTCACTTGCCCCGCGCTCTGTCTTGGGACTCATTTTTCGGGCCCTGGCAGCAGCCGTTGTAGCGGCAAGTAGTCTAGGCAGATTGGATTGCCTGCTGTTAGGGTCCGAGAAATGAGACCCAAGGCAGAGCGCGAGGCGAGTGGGTTCCGTTAGCGGTCGGGGAAAAGTTTGCCAACGAACGTCAATATCCCCCGACCTAAACCGGCAGGCTAACGAGCTGGTGGCTCAATGGTTAGAGCGTTAGACTCTGATCGGAAAGGTCACGAGTTCGAGTCCAGAATGGTTCACAACTTAGGGTTGGATATGACTGGCTGACGACTGCTAAAAAGCCAGAAGTGGGCAATTCAGTCTATATTGTTCCTGGCAGCAATACTATCTGTCTAGATTAAGGCAATTAAAACAGTTGCCACTGCAAGCGAACATGCGAGTTCCAGGAAGCAGTTGAGAAACAGAAGATGCGATCGCTGGGACAAGACTTTTATTCGCCTGACGTTTCGAAGTCCGCCGCGCATTATTTATCAGAGATATTAGCATAAACAGTAACAGCAATGGGTATTTCACGCACAGGGATTTGCAGCATTTAGAGGATACAGTCACCATGATACTGCACACTTATGACAATTAGCAACTCCCCTATTGAGGATTATTGACCGCTTGTGCGCTAATGGCTTGATGACCGGCGTGCGGGCCGTGACCTGCTGAACTTTCATCACAGGTGGTGGAATTGGTCGGCCATCTGGTTCTCTGTCGTTGGCCTGTGCATTCCGTAAGTAACGCAACTGTATGGGATCTGGTGCAGTTGCGGACAAAGCAACTACTTCGGAGCAACTGGACGACTTCTCAAGACGCGAATTACCGAACACGTGGCAGCAGTGCGGAGAATTACGCCAATTCTTAAGTTGCGGTTCATCCAACGAGACCCGGCCACACTTTCGAATTTGATGAGGCGAAAATTCTCGCGAGAGGTGACAATCGTGTGAGTCGTGAATTCCTTGAGTGGTGGTTCATGGACCCCCAGTCTATAAACCAGTTCAATGATCTGCCAAATCCGTATTCGGCGATGAGGCTCAGTTTCGCCAAAAGCCGTTGCCACTTGGGAAACGCACAGGCCAACGCGCCGTACAACGCAAACGCCGCGGAACCAGGTGGCCAAGCGATCATCACGTCCACTTCCGTCGCGTGTGCTAAAAGTTCCGTAGGTCACGGACCGCACGCAGGTGATCAAGCAATTAGTGCACAAGCGGGTAATTATCGTCGATAGGGGAGTCTTTAATTGTTATAAGTCTGCAGTAGCATAATGACTGTAACCCACAAATAATGCAACTCCCTGCGCATTAATTAGCTGTTTCTGTTAATTTTTCTGATGAGGGATCCGCGACGGACTTCGAAACGTCAGGCGAGAAAAAAGTCTTGCCCCAGCAATCCCATCCTTTTCTTCCCAACTAAAACAGTGGAGCCGGGTTTTGAATTTTCCAAATCTCTTCCTTTGCACAGAACGGGTGTTATCGGAGCGGGAAACGCTACATTCACGAGCAATTTTTAGAAACAGCCCCGAAAAGGACAAGTGTGCCTAGAATGGTTACTTCCGGCTAATTGCCTGTCATGAGTTTCAGGTTGGGAAGATCTGGGAGTTGGAGCCGAATGCTGGCTTTTTATTGAGCTTAGCACTCTATCAGTGCAGCCATGCGCACTGATCCGCTCTTGCAGATCGCGGGAGCAGTAGCTGTGAACATACTTTTCTCGTTCAGAAAAAATGTGCAATTACAAGGAAGCTTACCTTCTCCAGTGCGTTAAGGAATCCCCGCTGGTCAGTGTAAAAGGGCATCTGGTGAACAAGCGCAACATCAGGGTCCTTTGACTTCCACACCAAATCCTCCATTATTGCTGTGTTAGCTAGAGAGAAGAAAAAACACACATGAAATGAGGACGCAATCAACAAGACCTCAGGTGACTATAAAACGTGAAAAACTTATACACATACCTGTGACACACTAGCACGGGGTGTAAGTGTCGTCGTTTTTTGGAAGTAAGGGGTGGAGTTCGGGATTAGTTGCCATTTCGCGGTCTAAGTTGAGTTTAATGTCATACCATTGCATTGGCAGATATTTGACGCATTAGTGCGTGGACCCAAAGCCAGTTCTACTTAGTAAATGCAATTCCCAAACATCGATGTACGAATGTGTAGCCTACTGACATATTTAGTCAGTGCTCTGAGGGATCGATCGTATTACGCGGTTTTAAGTGGATTACCTGATACAGTAACCAACGTGTATTCCTGAAAGAAGGGTAGAGGCATTTGCAGGCGTGAAATGACGAGGTATGTCTCGTACACGCACACAACACACACGCTCGCTAGTACACATGGTGGCTTTTGGGCAGAAGTGAAATGGCTATTGAAGGATGCATAGCAGCAGAATTTACATGCTTCAGAAGACAAGCATCCAGTTTTCACTTCTGGCTCGGCAACACTAACAAAACTATATAAATGTGGGCAAGGCTCAGGGGCAAAAATGGGAGAGGGACTGTGAACACTGTGAACTGGCAATGCGAGTTACATTGGGCGATAGAGAGGTGACAGAGATGACAGAGGTGATAGAGAGCTAACTCCTTACTACATAATGACAGTTCGAAGGAATAGATCGATTTTTTTACGACAAATGAGACATTTGAAGAACAGCAGAATTTATCGGATCCATAAATTTCAGAAGCGCTCATCAGCTGCTACCTCTCATTGCATAACGTGAGTCACGTAAGAGAAAATACAAAATTGAATCAATACAGAAAAATCGATAGAAACACAGCAAGGTCATAGGAAATGGCCAAGAGG